CTCCCTACTCCATAGATGTTTGTACTGCTCTAAATCCCCTTGAATTATAGATTAAAATGTTCTTCTGGTTTCTCTACACTAATAGAGGAACGTGCAGACACTCACTTTTCACGGTCTTTAAATATAAAGTGTTGGGATTTTCTCTCCAAGACCTAGGAAATAATTAATCCTTCGCTGTGTAGAGTGCCAGCTGGCCGAGCAAGGCGCAGGTCTTTGGGACTTAAGATCAAACTATACGATGTGTATATTTATAAAGTACATCCAACATATGCAAACTGTACATCCTATAATTAAGAGAATTTGATTTGTTAGGAACCACAACTAATTTGTACATGTTGATATTCTCAAATATGTACATTTTGACATGACACGTGTTTCCATACACGTGAGGAAATCGAGAGAAAAAAGTGGCAGAAGTTTATGTTGGGACAACATACCTTGGTCAGCATTGTTAGGACTTGCTTACACATTTCCCATTTTAGACCACACATGATGGAGGGCCCACAACCGGTAAAAGTGCTCACATCCATATTCGTCATGTGCTCTTCCTTTAAGTCAATGCCTCAGGCACACTGGGCCTGTTTTTCTCTCTGCGCCAAATAATTGTGTCACTCTCCTCGTGTATATATATATTCACACCCACCACAGACTGATTATTACGGAAAAGTCAATATTTATTCTGAGGAAAGGACTTCAATTTCATGGCCACCTGTTATTCCCTCTATATTTGCCAATATTAGAGTAGTATATTGGCGGAATCGGCGACAGCAGCGGCGACCGTCAGTGGCTTATTTGAGCGAGCCAGATGATTGAAGTGGCAGAGCCCTCCCAGTGCGGTGTCTCTCGATGAGATGTCTTTTTTTTCCTTCCCTGCCTCCCCCAGTGTCGAAGGGACCCGGTGATATGTAGGCCAGTACCGGCACCGTGCTACAGAGCATTCTGTGTCTCGCACAGCTGCACGGATGCCTCCGGAAACAATGAGCCATTGGCTTTTGACAACAGCTCCTCGAGATTAGTCCTCAAGTCGCTCCGCGGGGACACTTGCCGTCACTTATTTGGCGAATGAGGTGGGAGACGGTAGGCGCTGATGTGGGGACGTTGTGCTAGGTGTTTTTGGGGTGATCTCAGGATGGAGGTAACACCTGATGTGGTGTCACTCATGTGACATGTTTCGTGTTCATCCATTTCATCTATTATTTTCTCCAGTGTTCATTTAAATTCACATGTTTTTTGAGAGTTTATAGATTGTGTGACAATAACCATTTGCGATAGCAGCCGTCGTCGTTTCTTCTGCAGGAGGCCTTGATTAATGTTGTAATTTAAGTAGGAAAGTTCTTGAAATTGTATACAATCTTCGCAACACCGGTTAGCACACACACAGCCTATTAGCAGCAGCAGCAGCAATTGTTTTTAACAGCTCAACGGGCATGAAGTGGTAAGTGCCGTGTCAATAACATTTGACAACTCTTCACAGGTCCCTACATTTGAGGTCAATAAAGTATTACGCACCGATGCAGCCATGAGATTTTTGTTGTAATCATTTTGAAAAAGTTGTTCAATTTAGCCATCAACGTTGTTAGACTCAACATCTCTCTCTCTCTCTCTCTGTCTGTCTGTCTCTCTAACTTCTCCTTCTCTCTCTAACTTCCCCTTCTCGCTCTCTCTCACACTGTCTATCTCTAAGTAAGTGTTATTTGTAGTTGACCTTGATATAACTATGCGGGTATTTCCAAATTAAATATATTCTGTGAAGTATTCATGTCCTTTATTGTGACACACTTTTCTCTCTGTCTCTCTCTCTGTCTCTCTCTCAGCATTTTTCTCATACTTTAAAGGAACATTGTCGAAGTTCAAATGGTAATGCTGTAGCGGTTTCACTTCCTGCCTTTGTGGTCATCAGCAGGTGTTATTTGGGCCATGGAGAGCGCCCCCATGATGTGCGCTCTCCTCTCTCACACACACACACCTCATGAAGTGTGACTAAGAGACGCACACACATGCTCATGCGATCTGCACAGAAGTAGATTAGTGTGTTTTTGACCCCTTATGCTCGAGTTCCAGCTGAAAAGAAAGGATCCTATTCATTTTTTAAGCCTAACTTCTCTAAGAATTGTTGACCCCCACTGTCTGCTTCTTAGTGCTGAAAGAGACGCTTGTTCAACCACTAAATCTATTTGTGTTAGGCCGCATAGCGCTCAACTGTGCCGCTGTAGCGTTTTCAGGCACGAGGCTGTTCGCTCTTCTCAAATCCAGTCACCTGTCAACAATACTGAGAATCCTATCAGCACCGACTCAGTGGTACTTCGGCCTCACTTCTGCATCTACCTCTGTGTGCTTGTCAGCCGAAGATTCAGTCTTCAAAATGTTTTATTTTGCTCAACGGAGCAGAGTCAATGCAATTTTAGCGAGCTTCCACACCAAATGTCTACATGCTATTATTCTCAACACGTGAAAGCTTGCAACTTTCCCGAAGGTTTTTTTTTTTCCTCCTATATTAATCTATTAGCCGTGGTCACGCTCACTTTAATTCAATTCTCTTCAAGTTCGGCTGAATGGATATAGAAACCAGGCTATTTCTTTAAGCATTACCTTCCAACACTTTTTCCTCATTCAGGTTGATGGTATTGCCTTCAAATCTGCCTTCGTATATCTACAGGGTGAGCTAGGCGTCATAAAGTATTCAACATGTGGGTTATCCAAACAGTAGTCTTAGCTGCCAAAGGTTATCGACAGCTGAATGTTGACCAAGCTCAATCACTCCTGGTTTGTTTACAGTGTGAACTGCAGTGTGTAGTGCAGTGGGGATATGCGTGTTTCTAGTCTACTATGCATTTTTGCACACGGTCTTCCCCTTGGTTTTTGATGAACATGGAATTCAAGGAAAAACAAGCTGTTTAGCGTTTTGGTAATGCATGTGTAATTCTGCTGCTCTATTAGGGTATTTCCAGTCTTTGTTTTGTTAAATGTTCTGTCCACTGTGTAAAATTAATATTGATATTGCAATATTTATGGAACAGTAGTGGTACTGCTTGATGGTTTTGTCCTGACAACTATTGAAATATCAATTAGTATTAGTATTGGGAACATCTGAAATTCGTTAGGCCACACTGAAAACTGAAAACAAAACTGAAATCACTAGTACCGCTTTAATATTAAAGTTTCCGGCTCCGTCATTTCTGTAATTCACCATTTATTCCTGACTGAGCACTTGCATTTCAGCTCAATTGAGCTTTGGATGTTTACGCTATTGATCTCCTACGTGCTGTGTCTAATACATTTCCTCCTAGCAAATCTAGTGTTAAAGATTACCGGTGGCACTTGGCTCTGGAGCACTTTTACCTCACCATTTAGCATTGTTGGCTTTGAGCTGCATCGTCTGACCTTTTGACAATGAGGCAAAGATAATGCAATCAGTTGTATTTCTTCCTTACACAAGCATTTCTTGTTGCCCTGCCTCTATTGTGCCTGTCTGAATAGATGAATATTGTCAATCACATAACGGTTCAGAAATGAATTGTGGCTCCATGGTCTGACCCTGATTATTTAACAGTGAATTTTGCATACATCAGTAGACCTTCAATAGTGCTGTGCCTATCTTTTAACACCCCTGGGCCATGACCATGTAAAAAAAGTGTTCTGTTTTAATACCAAATATTATTTTCAAAAAGTCATTTCAGTCTACCGCTAACAATATATGTTGAACTGTGTTAAAGGCAGCAACTGTTGGTTTTGGCCCGCATGAAATTCAGTGTTCCTAGGAGCCCTGCTTTTTGCTACATTGCAAAAAAATACACACACACACACACACACACACACACACACACACACACAAATGGTAAAAACTCTTCCTCGTCCAGGTTCAAATTAAGGCTAATTTGTTTTGTAAATATTTCCTCATTTGTACCGGGAAATTAAAAAAAATCTATTCTTGACGTTTGTGATTCCAGGTATTAGAGATGTATCTTCCTGATTGCGCAACAGTGTAAGGCGAAACTAGCGCGGGTGAATTTGTAGTTTTTTGCCACCTCGTTAGCGTACCTGCCAAAACTAGCAGGAGATTAACATAGGGAATCGGGGGTGCTGCTGTTGACTTGTGGCTCCACCTGGGGCCTGCTTTGATATGGAAATCCTGCATGTGTCTGTGTCCTAGGATCCTGTTGTATTCCTGTTCCCTCCCCACCACCACCTCCACCAGACCCACCCCTGCCTTCTTTGTGCTGGCAGGCTGGGTGGCCATCCAGACGTCTCTCTACTGGTTGCGTCAGCGGCAGTGCGGAGGTGGTGGTGGTGGTTGTTGTTGCGTCGGTCACTGATTTGCCAGATCTGACACCGCACTGAGGTGTGACCACTGGTGTTCGTGCATGACAGAGCGTTATGTAAGATTATGTGCCTGCTGGCTTTTCATGGAAGTGGATTGGAGAGAGAGGAAGGCAAGGAAGTTAACGCTGAAGCCTCAGTTTTGGTATTTGTCGGTTAATGAGAAGCACACGATTGCGTAAGCCCGCCAGTTATGCAGTTCTAGTGCCACATTAATCTGGGTCCAACCTGTTTGGTTCTGAGTCCAGGTGGCCTTTATTTACACATTTTCTTGGCCCTCCTCCAACGCCCGGCTGTCCACAGTCTTCAAACGGATTTTTGGGCCTCTACGTGAGATGACTCTGGCCTTGTGAATGAGATGTAACATATTCTCTACCCAGAGCCTAAATAATTCACAGGCACAGTAATGGTCTGTACAACAAGCTGTACTTTACGCGAGCGTACCACTGCATTTATGAACTGTGGCAATTGGGATGGGGAGAGGGGACTCTCACTTTTGCGGGAGATGGGACTACTACAGATTATTTACTGACATCAAGAGACAGGAGTAGCGTAGCACATAGAATCAATGTCTATCCCGATCGTGCACACGATTAATTTACAAATCTAATTTTCCTACATCCAACAGCTACTTCAGATGTCAGATGTCTCAAATGCAGCAAACTCTGCATATGAATCTTCCTGTCAGGATAGTGCAGGGCTAGGGTGTTCGACTCCCACTCGAAAGGTACAGAGTTCTAGTCTCAATGTTCGTGGCCGACCTGGCATCCTTGAGCGTGATGCATTCGAAACCCTACCTTACCTTGTCCTTAATTACACATATTCACTGTGAGTCACTTAAAAAGAAAGAACGTTAAGCAAAGACATCTCCAAATGACTAAAAGGTAAGTAGGATGATCCCACTGCAAGGGGGCGAACGTTGGTTGAACTATTGCCCGGACGAGTTTGCTTTGGCGGAGGACAGGGACGGAAGGGGATGACGTGGCAGCTGGTGGCCCATCGGGGGGAGGTTGGCGTGGCTCCTTTCATGGCGCCGGCCCTGTGGCAGTCCAGCCAGAACAACCCTGCTTCTTCTTGTGTGTGCCGGCCGCAGTCAGGAAGGGAGCTCAAAAGGGCTATCGAGGGCACTCTTGTGTTCTCCGGAGGAAAGCACATTTAAGTGTGTATGTATGTGTGTGCAATTGTGCATTGCAAACTGCGTACATTCAGTGGGGGGGGGATTAGTCTAGAATTAACATCCGTGTGACCCCATGCAAAGAATCCCAGAGGAGCTCTGTTCAGCGTTTTCACCGCCGCACGAGCAGCAGGCCCCTACTCCCTCTCTTCCCTTGTTTGGGCTGCGGTGTCTGTTCTACGTATCCAAGATTTAGGCAAGTGTCTGCTGCTGCCAGGGAACTAGAATAGTACAACGGAACGAGTGTCGTCTTCGCTTGTCCCTCTGTCTTCACCCTGCCTTGTAAGGGTGAGGAATGGCTAACTCGCACCAAGAGGAAATACCCCATGGTGCCTGCAACATCTCCCAAGATTTAGATTTATTTTTTTTGTTTCCCCATCTCTGTAGCAATCACTTTAAACCTTTGAGGTGTGCGGGAGACGTTACCACCAGTTTGTTTAACAGGCTCGTTGATGGAGACGATCCTATCCACCTCCTGCTGACCCCCCCTGTCGCACTCACCTTTGTCCCTCCCTCTTAGAAACATTGGCGTGTGCTGAACAGTTTTCCACTAGAGCGCCACAGGCATATTAATCATCTTCAGCCCAGTGAATATTCTCATAGTTTAGAAGAACACACAAACATACTCGCACACACTCACACAAGCGTGTCCCTCCCTCTGTGACAGACTTCAGGCCTCATTAAGTGGATTTTTTTTTGGTGTATAGCCTGTGCAACAGATTTCCCAATCATCAAATTTACCGGGCCCTGCCAACAGCTCTATTCTTTCCTTGGGTTTATCCATCAGAGTCCTGCATGCCTCAGATGTTGGGTCAAATATTCACTTAGCTTTAAGTTATGCTTGGGTTCTATTATGCATGGTGTAATCCATATTTTCCCTGTTTCTTCATTATTTTATGCTGGAGCATGATCATGAGCCCATCTCTAACCTCTGCTATGGATTGTAGGGAAAGTGTTGAAAAACGATTTAAGCTAATTATAGTCTTACCCCCTTCCTCCCTCCCTCCTCTTTCCCTTTCTCCATCCCTTTCCCTCTTTTCCTCTCTTCCTCTCTTTATCCCTCTCCCTCTCTCCCCTTCTCCTTCTCCCCCTCCCTCCTTCCCTCCCTCCCTCTTCCCATGTCCCTCTCTGCCTATCCATGCCCCTGCCTTGTTGAAACCTTGTGTGGATGTGAGGCACAAATTGTAATGCGCTTTGAGTCTGAAGAGCGCCATATAAATGCAGTCCATTTACCGTTTGTTCTCCCAGCTTGGAGGTGATGAGAGGAGGGTAGACAGCAGGACTATCTATGTTGGCCATCAGCCGTCACCCACCGAGGCCTTCATCCCGCCCAAGTTCTGCGACAATAGGATCGTGTCTTCCAAGGTAAGACACCACACACACACACACACACACACACACACACACACACACACACACACACACACACACACACACACACACACACACACACACACAGTGTTAGGTATGGCATATCAATATGAACTTGGTATTATTCTTTATTATATTTGTGTGTTGGTAACTGTCCCTTCCTCCTATCAGTGTAAACTGTACAAACTAGTATCTCTTGACCTAGTACATTGTTTACTTCTCCTGAACCTCGTAACACGTAATTCTGGACAGGGCTTACATGTTTTTGATACTGTATAAATATGTGTCAACCTGAATAAAGCAGAAGCATTGTGTCCGTAAGCTTCCAGGTTTCGAGAAAAGATAGATGACTCCGTCCAAATAGACAACAGAGAAAAACATCACGACACACAGTTTTACAGCTGGGGTTTATCTCTCTGTCTGTACAGAGCGGCCACCTCTTCTTCACCCCCTTGTCACATTCCAACCATCTCGTCAAATCCTTTTGATTAAAAGTCCTCTGGGGTTTGTGCAGCAGCCCCTCAATCTGCTCTGTGTGTTCCACCTGTTTGCAACCCCCCCCCCCCGATGTAATGGCTGTTATTTGTTCTCGTGTGTGAGCAGAGCACTGCGCATGGCATTAAAACACGTGCCGGTCATGAATGTGCAGGCAATTCAATATTTCCCCCACTTGCGCTCGTAGTTATTCTCTGTCACTCCTCCCCCCTGCAAACCCCCGTCGTGTCAGCGTGGGGGGAGGGAGGGAGGGAGGGAGGGAGAGAGAGGAGGGAGTGGTGGACGGGAGGAGCCCTGCCCGATCAGGCTGTGGAAGGTGAAGGTGATATGGGGTGTGGGTGACGGGCACGAGGCGGACGTAAGGCAGCGGGGGGGATTTATCGTGGTGCAGAGGAGCCCCGAGAGGAAATGCCCTATCAATTGGCTCCCTGCATTGTGTCAGTGTAAACAGCCCTTAATTAGCCCGCCTGTAGTGTTTATGCTCCTGCATGCCGGCGCCTTCCATCATCCTGCTGCCCTGGCTCACGCCAACCACCAATCTTACTCCTTCGCCTCGCTGCAGCACCTTCATACATTTGCACAAGCGTGCGCTGCTGCTCTACTCCGCCCTCCCCCCTTTTTCGCGTATTACTCTCTCTTCCCCCCCCCTCTCTCCTCTCAGAAGAAGAAGGAGAATCTAGACAACGAATTGTGCGCTCTGCATTTGACCCGTCGCTAGCTGCAGCACTAGGAGCAGTGGGGCAGCCGCAGCACAGCGCCCGGGGACCGACCCCAGGTCTACCGCCGGTGCCTCGGTCAAGGGCACGGGCGGAAGTGTTACTACCTAACATGCATGTCTTACGGGTTAACCGTCTCTCATGGAGAGGTTGTTGCTGCTGTTGCAGCCTTTTAAGGCCAATGCCGCTCCCACGCCATGACCATTTCCAAAGCTATGTTGTGCACTCGTCCTCCCCAAGTTGTAGTCTTTGTCTATTGTGAGTTTCGTCCTCCACTGCAGTGTCCCAGTGTTTCCCAGTCATCTTTGTGTATATCGGAAGTAGGCAGTTATGTCGCTTTATCCGACTATCTCAGTGTCACCAGAGATAGTCATTTAAATGAGAAAGTGAGCAAGTAAGAAAATGGAGGGGGAGGGGGGGGGAAGAATGGAACATTTTAGCTTCCAGCATGCTAATGAAATCTTCTCTCCATCGAGAGCTCGTTGAATTAGGCAGATAAGTCGCTAATCCGAATCAATGGGATACCTGCCGTGTCCCTACGGCTGGGGTGGATCTCTGGGCCAATGGGCAGCTAGCGAGCCAGCTATTGAAGTTGTCTTCCGCCCGCTCTCATCCTCCCCTCTCGGGAGGGATAGCCGCGTGCTGCGAAGGCGTGGTGCATATTGAGCGCCGCTAATCGCTATCCCCTTGAAATTCCTTTCCTCTAACCTTTCCTACCTTGAAACGAGGTCGGGGAGACACCGAGCTGAAATGAGCACTGCGATGAGGCGTGTGCATGTACTTCAAACTACACACACGCGCGCACACACACACACACCACACACCACACACCGCACCACACACGCACACACACACCGTGTAGTGGATACAATCGCCTGCTGCATTAATCTAGCGCTCCTAACTCTCGTAACTCTCTTTCTTGCCGCAGTACACCGTGTGGAACTTCCTGCCAAAGAACCTGTTTGAACAGTTCAGACGAATTGCAAATTTCTACTTCCTTATCATCTTCCTGGTGCAGGTAAGTGTGTGTGTGTGTGTGTGTGTGTGTGTGTGTGTGTGTGTGTGTGTGTGTGTGTGTGTGTGTGTGTGTGTGTGTGTGTGTGTGTGTGTGTGTGTGTGTGTGTGTGTGTGTGTGTGTGTGTGGCTCCACAGGTGCCCTGGTGTGACTCTGGAAGGTGTGTCAGTGCAGTGTGGGATCCGATTGCAAATGGGGACATTTGCATGTGGTATGAGCCTAGTGGCTGAGGGTGTAGCAGGATGGCAACACGGTGGCACATTGGGTGGGTGTGTTTTGTTACCAGTTCATTTGTGTTGGCGCCTGCGTTCTGATTGCATTTGAGGCCTGTGTAGAACAACTTAAATGACTCTTTCAACGCTGCCTCAAAATATTTTGTCCATTTAACTTCTCTCGTCAAGAAGTTTGTTTTATTTTTCGTTTATTCATTCAGCAGTTCAGTGTTTTTATCCCCACCTATCCTGTTTGGGATGTGGGGATTGAACCCAGTACCCTTCCGCTTGGGAGTGGAACATTCAAGCCACTAACAGTATCCTACTGTATCCCCTAATGACTAACAGACCAATAGAAATGATATCACATGAAGCATACAACTCCATTTCCTATTCTTCTAATTCACCCTTGTCATGAAGCTCCTCTGCAAGCTGTTTTCCCTTCAGTTGGTTCACTTGTCTCCAAAATGTTCTGGAAACAAATCTCAAGGAAAGACGTCGAGCGCTTGTGTGTCTCCTTCCTTAAAAGCGTGTGAATAATGGATGGTGGAGGTTGAGCGAAGGGGTGGTGTCCGTGCTAACGGAACCCACCAACAAGCATTTGATGAAAGCATCAGTAGAATGCAAACAGGTGCACTCTCAACCCTCACCTCCCCTCTCCCCCCTCCCCTCTCCCCTCTCCCCTATCCCTCCTGTCTCCCTTTCTCCCCCCCGCCTTTCTTCTCCACTCCTCTCCTCTCCCCCTCCTCTTCTCTTCTCCATCTCCTGTATTCTCTC